AAGAGTGTGGTCTCAGTGATCCACAAATTGCTCTGCTTGCTCCTCAGGTAAATGCTCCTCAGCACTCTCTCAAGTGTCAAGAAGAAAAAATTGGAAACTATAATGCGGAAGTCTAAACCCCACCTTACTCTAGGTCATTCTTTGGGTTGGGCTTCTAAAGTTTAGACTTAACACAAACACTCTCAGCCGATGCATATTTTTATTTTATTTTCTAAAAAAATTTCCTTTATTTATCTTATTAGCCAAATTAAGTCAACAAAATAAATGATAATTAAACATCTATATTATTATTAATTATTAATATTTCAAAAATCAGGATGTTACTGTTCTTACGGATGATTATAACCTTCATGATTGCTTGAACTTTTGGAACTTGAGGGTTTCATTGAACTGGTTATTTATCATACGTCTCTAAGAAAAATTTATGTTGACAATGAATAGAATGATTGTTTAAGTTCTTAAGAGTGTGGTCACTCATATATATTACCATGGTTATGAAAATGGGGCCGGTATAGCTGGTTCAATAAAATATCTGGTGAACTGGTGTGGTGTTTAGTTCATTCAAGTCAGAATGCCTGATTTCATGACTGGCAGAAACCGGTACAAATCCTATGAAAACCAGAATACAACCATAGAGAGCTAATTGTTTTCCTTTTCTTTTTAATTTTTTTTGCAATATTTTAAATTATTTTATTTAATTAAAGATATTCTTTACCAAATAAAGACCCAATGTTAGTTACAAAGGTCCGTACACAAGGCTTTTATCTTTTATTCTTGATTTTATTTACATAATATATAGAATATGCTCCTTTCACAGATTTAAAATCTTACTAGCATTTGCTTTATTTTCTTATTCATGATTTTGTGTTAGTTTTTTAAACAATATTATAATCATAATTTTAATTATCTATTTGACTATGGTTTAGGATTTGTTCTTCTAAAAATACTTCTAAAAATTTCCTTTTTGTATTCTTCTTCTATAAGTGTTTTTTTGAAAAGTTTATCTTAATAGGTTCTTCATATAGTTGAATCATATAGCCATAAAACATTGTATGTGAGCATGAAATATTGATTCCTATTGATTGACATTTATATTTTGCAGCTTCTGCAGGTTGTGTTGGAACTGTTAAATGGACAACTTTAATGTTTTTAGTACTTGTATTACTTGTATAAGCAAGTTCTGAACTGTATCATTCGGCCAGACAAACCAGAGAGTGCTATAAAATGTGAGCTACGCAAAGGCTAGCCTCACATATGAGTGGATACAAGTTGTCATTAAGAGTGTAAATAGTTGATCAAAAAGATCCAAGATCAAATGTACCCTTTTAAAAAAAAATCCAGTCAGTGTATGCGTTTTCAGGACAAGTTTGCAAGTGGCAGGCCTTGATTACACGCATCACTGCTGTTCTGTAACGTTAGATGCAAAACGAAAATGAAAGGAAGAAAAAAAATTGTAACAATATGCCTTTTGGTTCTCATGGCTTATAATTAATTTTGTATGGTTCACTAAGCCAGCTAAAGATGTTGGCCAGTTTAGGCAAGAAATGTTCAACCCTTGATCGCAATGATGGATCATATCTTTGTTGCCATGTGATTATGTGAACCCCTCGCCAATTATTTTCCCACGTGATCAAGGGCTTCTAAGAGTTGAAAATAGTTATTTCCGTTTATTTATTTATTTCAATATTTTAATGTTAATGAACCATGATACGATGTTGCTTCCATAATCAGAATAATTAAAGCAACTTATCTTGTATCATTATTATTGGTTTCTGAGTTTCTTTCAAAATTAAGCTTATACAGCTTGACATCGAGAAGAAATAAAAAAGGAAAAAATGTAACTAATCAATTCAAAATATTAAATGTTTAACTTTTGGCTCTCAACATTCTACTAAGGTTGAATATGATGATTTATCTAAATTAAATTCTAAGTTGAAGATTTTTTTATGGGACGGAATCAATTGACATCACTTGCTAAATTTTTGTATTTATATCACGTAATAATTTTTTTATAGAATGTAAAATTAATTAATGTAACAAATGATTTTTTTTTTTTTGCATGGACTACAAATCTCCTTAAGTGGAGGCAATTTTATTTGAGCCGAGGAAGATTACTATACTTGGAAAAACTCCTAAATATTTAACACAGCTCATTCAATACTGAAATTCAACATCATTAGTTAACTTGAAACAATCTTATATAAATTGATTTATGTGATCAATGGTATTTGACAATTGAATTGAAAATTCATATAAAATAAATTGTTTAAAATTTTCATTTAAATAAAAAAAATTAGATGATCATGCTTCATCATACAATATTTTAGTGGTATACCAAAAAAAATACAATATTTTAATAGATAATACTTTATTTAAAATATAAGTGAATGTCCATAGGCAAATAATGTATTAACAAATATTCAATTTATTTGAAATTTGATATACATGATAAAAAAAATATTAAAAGATATAATTTTAAAAATAATTTATTATTAAAAATCTTTGAGCAATAGAATTCTCATGTCATTGAATTACATGTTACCTAACTTACAAGGATTTATATTTACCTTTTGTAGTGTATTTTAAAGAATAACCTTTGATGAGGTAAAAGAGAATTACAACTTTTGTCATGATAGAAGTTTAACACAAGGTTTCTTTTTAATCACCAAGTATCAAGGTATGATACTTTTACTTAGTCCATGCAACAACCAAGTGAAGTTTAGGTGCTAGTCAAAGGTTGACAAGTGTCAAGTTTTGCATGACCACATAACCTAAATCTTTTAGTAGTATTAAGAGTGAGGTCAATATGTTCTTTTATAGAGTATTACAATCTCATACTTCCCTACCAAGTTTCGTTTTGGAAGACACCTAAGACCTAAAAAGCATACATCTCGACAACCTACTACCTTAAAGACAAGAGCTTCATGAACCTGAAAATACTAGACAACAGACTAGCCCACATTATAGCTACCTCATGCAAAAATACATCTATGCCAAATACAGGTCAAGTTAGTCACATTAACCCCAACTTGGGTCATGTAAATGCTAACTTACTCACAAAAGACATAAAAACTCTGCCCATTCATGGCACATCCTTTAACAAACTGCTTATGTGAATTACAACCTTTTCTCACTCCAATGATTACTTATACTAGCCTATAAAACCACTAAACGTCACTAGGTATAGATACATTCTCTTCTACTTCACCATTTCACTGCTACATCACATAATGACTTGGGCGTTAGAGTGCTTACATGTGGACGCCACCTTCCTCCTCCTACATTGACGCACTAATTCAAACTTCTAGCGGTCCTCTCATTCACCAATCAAACAAGCTTGTAGATTGTAAAACCAGATACTTCTCAATTTAATTAAATCCAATTCAATTAAATATTTGTTAGTTAATTAAATTATATTTAATTAACTAACCATTAAGTTAAATTACATTTAATTACTTGTTTAAAACATTTACTCAATATGTATCACCTTATAGAATCTTGCTTAATTGTTAATAATATTAAATAGCATATAAAAAATAATATTAAATATTATAAGGAATGATTGACATCTAGCTATTATTATCACTTAACCAATGAAAAAATAGGTGATCTCATTATGAGCTTTTAGAGGAGTGTGAATGATATAAACAAGATTCGATTCATGCATAATGAGAGTTGTCTTGAATTTTTTGATAGATTAAGATGTGAAATATGTGTAACCATGCGAGAATGGATAACATGTGATATTGAATCTGTTCACATTTAAACTTCTACTTGAGTATAAAAATTAAATAAATCGAACTTAATGAGAATGACACTATTATGTCTCTTGTTCAACTAAAGGATATGGAAGAAGAAACAAATTACTTTATTATGATAATTTTGGTTCCAAAAGTTAATAAATAATATTTACACAAATCCAACCCATTCCATACCATTTTGACAATTTTGATTAAATTGATAACAGAGTTGATCATATACCTTACCCAACCCATAATACATTTCGATCAACAACAAAAAAATGTTAAAAAATATATTATTAACAATTCATTGTTTATAAATATAAAACTAAAACGAACATGATACAAATGACAACATGGTAAACCTCAAACCCTAAATTTAGACTACATACATCTGTACCATAAAGTCCCACAGTACCATAATGAAAAACCTTTATATTTCTGGACAGCATGACTCGCTATAAGATGAACAAAATGAAGAGCACAAAATGCAGGAAGGCTAAGAATTTCATTTCTTGCCCAATCTCCATAGAATTTTCAAATCACGAAAGATCATATGGTTCTGCAGTTTCTGCTCGTGAATTCCTACCAAGCTGAGTGCAAGTTTCATCATCACCAGCCAAAATGCTTCAAATATATCCAGTCCGGTTATGCAGAATAACTATGGCTCGGCCCATAAGTGATGCAAATTCACCAGTATTTGCAGAAAGTCGCACAATATTTAATTGCACAACAGCACAGATGGTTTTTCCAATGAAATGCACCCTTATCTAACTCATGGATAATAGAGTAAAATGTATCTGATACACTTCATCCATTTGGCAAAAATATCAAGACAAACGCGAGCACATTTAACATGATTAGATGATCCTAGTCTGCATCACCAAGCCCATCACTTCCATCACCCCTCTTGGATATAGGAGTAAAATGTGAATTTGGTTTCTTCTTCTGAGAAGCAATTTCAGCATTCTTACGCAGAACAGCTCCAGGTGATGGATATGGTCGTTGTTGAAAGAGAGGACCCTGAAATTAATTGAGAGAATTTTTAAATCATGTTCTGGGGAAGGTCGGCAAACTTTGTGATTGTTTAAACACTGGACATTTTCGTGGATAACTACATTAAGTTACAAAAAATTTCTCAAGTATTGAGGAATCCATGGATACCAGATTGAAGGAATTCTTTTGGCTAAAAATGCATTAAAAACTAAGATATCAAATGGATCAACAAGAAAAGAAACTACACAAAAGATAAGAAAATAGTTCTGAAAATAGAAGCAAAAAGAAGACAAAACAATTTACATACTGTTGCTGTTGTGTCAGCCGCTCGTGGTTGCACACCTTTCAGACCCACGACCCTGAATTTAATTATAAATTCATATTTACTAATCACGTTTTTCTACTAAGCAATTCAGTATCAGACAAGAATTTTGAATGGTTCTTATGTATATATACAACACAATCACATACCAGCCACCACGAGGAGCATCAGAATAGGAGCTAGGGTCCATGGGATCCAACTCATCATCCTCTGTATAAGCACGTTTCTTGCCCCCTTTTCTACTTCCCTTATCAAATGGAGGTTTCGAACTGAACCTGGACAGAGAAATTGGGATCAATACGTCCTTTATGGCTTCAGTAAAGAAAAGCTCAAAGATTTCAAGGAAAAATATCTTATAAAATAACTAATGAGATCTCTTCAATAATCTTCCATGAAATCTAAAGCTGAAGCAAATAAATATATAATTTTTCATCATTTCTAAATGCTAAATCAACCAAAATTTCAGTTTAAGATAGATGTAATGTAATTTTAGTGGAATTTTGATGAAAGAGATTGTATTTGATTCTCTGAAAAATCCTCTTTCATTGAAAACTATAATGGATACAACGTGCAACAATGATAGTTTTCTTCTCAAAAGTTCACTTCTCTTTATTTGTCATCGATCTTTTTTCATAGAATGCAAATTCCACTATTGAACTCTAAACAGTAGTTTTTTGATACGGAAGAGAACCTAAAAGAGAAGTATATTTGCAATACAAGTTTTAGTAATCACAAGCAGACTAAAGATTTTTCATGATGGTAGAAAAAGAAAAGTTCTAAACGATGGATAGAGGAAATTGAAATTTAATGAAATCACTAGAGGTCATGCCCCAAGGATAGCAGCAATAAAATTGGCCAGATAACATCAACTGAACAGCAATAAAATTAGCCAGATAACATCAACTGAACAGCAATAATTGGTTGCTAACAATTTAATAGCACTAAGATCTTCATACAAAACTATACCTCTGTTTGCTAGCGTTTTTATCAGAATTTTCACAGGGATGTGCAGCACTTCTTTGCTGATTATTCACATTTGAGGACAAATATTGACATTGTGGAAGATTCAAAACTCTGCATTTGTTCATTTTTTTGATAATAAAAACCAAAACATAGATTAGAAACAAACATTTGCAGCTAATTCAGAAAATAAACATTAGGAAGCAGAAAAAATTTAAATTCTTGTATCTTGTTCAAGGTACGACAACCAATGTATGATTTAGGTAACTTTGGTATAAACTTGTAGCCGAAACAATGCAAGAATTCTCCAAAACTATCATGTTGTTTGGTTGGGATAATTTCTGAAGAAACAGTTGTCATTTTTTAAAAGCTCTCTCTGGAAAATTGCAAAAATAAGCAATTATTTCTTACTTATTTTTGCCATGATTGTCAAACATATACTAAGCCTTAGTCAGTAATCACTCTCTACCTTGTGCAATGATTGCAGTGACCCCATGCTTGAACAAGGCCAACACCCCAACCACCGCATTGCATGCAACGTGGTAAATTAGATGATTGATCATACCCACCACCAACAGACAAGTCTGAGTGATCCGAGACAACTTCCTGAGTTAAATTAGGTCGCTCCCATTGTGATACATGAGTTTTTGTATTGTAGTAATACTTATGACCTGAGGTAATACAAAGAATGAATTGATAAATTATAAAATTCATAAAACAGTGGCAAAATATATACGAAAATTTATAACCCAAATACAATCAGATCATGGGTAAACTAACCAAACAAACCACTCTAAAATTCATTTTGCAAGTGTTAAAACATTATATTTCTCTGAGAATAAACTAAAATATATACTGAACCAGATGGCAAACAATACATTGTGTAGGAAAGAAGTCCATCTTATTGCAATGATTATGGTACTTTAGGATATTTTCTGTATTCAGTTTTCTTATAAATAAGATCAGATTTTCCTGATTTATTAGAAGCAGAAATCACTGATTTTATAGGGATTCTGCCTAGGATCATGGCTGTAAATCCATCTATATTTAGTTTAATTTCCTGATTTATTAGAAGCAGAAATCCCTGATTTTATGGAATTTCTGCTAGAAATCCAGCCATATTCAGTTTAAATAAGTTTGTAATTCATCTTATTTTCACAATGAGAATAAATAGTATAAGAGCCGACTTTCTGAAAACCCAATTTACAAAATCACTATTGTCAGCCTCTCCTCATCATGACCAAACATGGCCAGCCCATTCACCAAGGAGCAACTTGAGGCAATGAAGAAACTATGTGACCAAACATTACTCACGATTTGAATTGAATGACTTAATTCTATCCAAATTTGTGTGAATTTCAGGCAGCAGATTCGGGGAGGATGATTGGCTGTGCTGAGCCAAGTGGTGAACTTTATTTGATCAAAGAAAGTACTTCAGCTCACCATAATGTTCCCTCTGCAAGTTCTGTTTTTCAATCTGTTTCGATGTCTAATGAAAATAAAATAATGTTATGGCATTTTCATCTCAGCCATCCATATTTTGTCTATCTTGAAAGGTTGTTTGCTCATTTTTTCAGTAATAAAATGATAAGAACTGGATCAGAAGTTTTAAAGAGACCGGAAAATTATTGATTGCACGTAAACTGAATCACAGGTTTTCAACAGACCTGCACTCTCCCCAACAATGATCAAATGTGATACCCACTCCTAACTCTTAGTCCTCTGTTATAACACCAACCTCCACTAGTAACTAACTAATTGTAATTTGTTATTAATTATTTCTGTTACAACTGCACAAGAGCCTTATGCCCCTGGACCCCTTATTTCTCCTACTATAGATCCTCATAATAGGAAGTCTCCCCTAAAGAATCCACCTTGTCCTCAAGGTGGAATTGATGAAAAGCAGCTTGAATATCTCCTGCTGACTCCCAACTGGCCTTGCAAGTCGGTAGCTTCTTCCACTTGACTAACACTTCCATCCATCTTCCCTATGTTGTCAGCTTGAATATACCTTTTTCCCTCTCACCATTGAAGACTTCTTGCATTTTTTCCGTAGCCCAATCCATTTCTTCATAGTAGCCCATGGCTAGCTTATCATAAGAATCCACCAAACACAACACTAAAGGGTAAAACACCCCTTAAACAATTCAAAACACCCTTAAAATGTCCTTATCAATGAGTAAATTTTCAAAAAAATTCCCTATTTATTCTTTGCAAATTGACTATCCTTCTTGGATATGAACATCTTAACCAATGTTTCCTTATTTTCATTCAAGCATCCCAGACACAAGTAAGATGTGGCAAATCATGTAATGGAAGGTCTAATCAAATCACATTCTCCTATGGTAAAATGATGCAACAAAGAAATGTCATTCCTAGAATAAATGTAAGTTATGATTCTTTTACCACTTACAATGGTCTTTTTATGGCAATGTAAGGTGTCCTCTCCAATAAATTTATCTCCTCTTCATCAACATTTCTCCAACAGCATTGTAATTTGTTTGATTGTCCTTGAATGATAATAAAGTTTGTGAGTAAGTAATTTTTTTTGATAGGCAAATGATAATTGTTAATTGTTAGTGGGGGGATTCGAACCCACACCCTCCTTATCACTCCAACCCTATATCCCTCCCCCCAAACCAAGACAATTAGCGAGGAATATCCATCTTTCTGCCAAATAGGATGTATTTAACTCACAAGTCATTATATACTTTTTTATGAGTGTCAACTACATAGTGTATGTAAATTGCTCCAGGTTGTTCAATTGTATGATAACGAAAATTATTCATTGATAAATGATCACTATGAGTCGGACTCAAGAATTTGTTCAATCATTTCTTTCTGTCGTTAAGGCAGAAAACTGAACAAATAATTCTCTTTCCTTATGATCAAAAGAATCAATGTTCGAGACCCAAGATTCTATGTTATCATCAATCCAATCACTATTCCTGTTTTTTATTTTTCTTATCAAGGTATAGATTGTTTTACTTGTAAGCCACCATCTTACAATAATATTAAATTCTAACAGAATTTAATAGATATAGGATATAAAGAGATGGGGATAGACAACTTGGAGTACATGTAGTCATTTTGTTAGGCACCCAATTTACAAGCAGTCAATAAAAAGATTAAACAAAGAGAATTGTATTAATATCGATGAAAGAAAAATTCAGCAGGCAAAGTTCCTACTGCCGCAGAGCAATGCTCCTTCAGAGAGCTAGTGCTCTCTGCCCATAACAAAATAACCGATTCACATCCAAAAAGGTACCCTCTCTCTCTCTACTCATTTCCTATATGTGGAAGAACGTATGTAAAGGATTTTGATGATGCCAAAGAAATTGTAGAAAACAAGAGGTCAAGTTAAAGCAAGGTGATCAAGAAACAAGAATCTCAGTATTTTAGATAAGTCTTGTCAACCTAGCTTTATATGTAAAAAGAAATCTTTAGAAATATTGCATAAGATTCTTGGCCATTTAAAATAAAGAATTTCAAGAAAACCCAAATATAATCTTTTATATTAATAAGGTTTTGAAAATAAAGGTTTTCTATATTTTAAGTTTTAATAAGGTAATTATTGTTTTTAATAGTCTGGTAATCGATTACCAGTACATGTAATCGATTACCAGAGAATGAAACTCATATGATTCAAAATTTACTTATTAAAACGTGCTCTGGTAATCGATTACCAGAAGATAAAAATTTCAAAGTTTGAATTTAAATTTTACAACGTTCCAAACATTTTGAAAATAAACCGTTAAATCGATTACCAAGTCTTGTAATCGATTACCAGAGCCTATTTTCTGGAAAATTTTAGAAAGACACAACTCTTCATGAAAAGTCATGACCTATGAAACAATCATCTATAAATACCAATAATTTTTCAGAAAAAGGTTACGAACTCAATTGTGAAAAATTATCTTTACAATCACTTGGCCAAAAATCATTTGCAAATATTATCTAAAGAGTTCTACTAGATCAACAAAGTGTAAAATCCACTCTTCAAAGAGAGTTATTCTACTTCATTCATCTTTTCTATTGATCTGTAAAGGGGAAATTGTTGTTCTCCTTGGTGGTCTGTGATTCTCAACACGAGGAAAGAGAATTCCTAGGTGTTGGAGAATTTGAGTCTTGTAAAGGTTACAAGCATAGTGAAAAATCTCAAGTGGGTGACTTGAGGACTGGATGTAGGCAAGGTTGGCCGAACCAGTATAAAATCAAGTTTGCAATTCTCTATCCCTACACTTTTAATTTTGTTGTGAAGTTTTTGCATCATTACGTACAAATTGTTTATGATATTGATTTTATAAGAAAGAAGTTAGAAAAACTAATAAAGAGAAGAAAAATTAGATAACTTAATTCACCCCCCCTCTTAAGTTACACGAGGCTACTTGACTAACACTATATACCCAAAACCCCTTACACAATTGGCAATTCAATTGCATCCCTTGCCACTTCATCATTTTCAGCCCTCTCCAATTTCTCCTCACAGACTCTCCACACCTTGGACTTGAAAAATTGATCAACTAATTGCCCACTTGGACCCAAGTCCACTTTCGCAGTCCTAACACATTCTTTCTCTAATAATAAACCACTATTATTGATACACTCATCACAGACTCCTTTTGATGTTAGAAATATAAAATAAACAAAAACTCATACAAAGACACAATATTTTATGAGTTGAACCTGTTGTTTCATCTAGTGTCTCCACCCAATTTTCTGGAAGATGCAAAAATGACGGTGATTGCTCAGTTAAGTATGATCCGTGAGGTTTTTCCCATTGACTCTTCCCAGTACTTTCATTATAATAATAACATGCCCCACTTCCTGGATCTTTGGCCTCCACCTACATGCAAAATCAGAAATTCATGAGCTAGAAGTAGATGGTATTGATAAAATTAAAAATCCTAAAGAAATGAGGAATTGATAGAAATTTGCACATTTCAAACTTACAAGTTATAATGGGTGATATGATAACATTAACTATATACCTTCAAACCTAGCTGTAAAATTCTATCTTTTAACAGATTATTTCATTAGCAGGGTAGCCAACATATAATCTGTCATTTATCAAGCCTAAGATGTCCTTATTCCTCCATAATCAATACAAATACCAAACCTCTCAGTCAATATGACATGTTTTACATTTCTTTTCTGTTTTACAAAAAATTATACACAGGGTTGTGGTGATGAGTGATGACTAAATATGTAGCAGCTATGACACTCAAATCTTAATTCTGTTTTTTTGTTGTCAAAACTTGGTTCTAATTAAAAAAAGACCAGCAATAATAGGAGATTTAGAAAAGCTAAAGGCATATGCAAAGAAATTTTCCGCATAAAGGCAAACTTTAATAACAAGTGATACACACCCATCCTGAAGGTAACTTTTCTTTTCCCGCAACTTCAGCTGCAGTGCCTTTCTGAAACTCAGAAACAGGTAATATGTAAGGTATTTGAACAGATTGAAAAAAAAAATATTGTAAAACACTTAAAAACATGAGAGATGAAAATAGAATTCTAATTTAAAAGTGCGGCACTATAATTTTAAAAGCTAGTATATCACAGTTCAAACCCAAATAAAATTTGCAGCACGATATTGTGAAATGAAACCTCAAAAATAGGAGGGGAGAAAATGAATAATGATAACAGAGATAAATTAAGATCAATATTCTTACAATATCTGCAATGCATGTGTCATCTTTAAGAATACCCCTAGCTTTCAACCTCTGCTTGAGGTACTCAGGCAATTCTTTAGCTGCAGGTTTTTGTTCTGAACCTTCATCAAGAATAGATTCGGGCTGACCGACAGCATTGCTACCTTCACATTCCCAAAAGCAAAAAAGTTTAAGGTATACTCAATGGCTCAGTTATCACAATTCTAGAGTGCAACAGCATGACTAAAATCACTTTGAAATTAAACTTACCTCCAGTAGTATTAAGTTTAGGAGCATCATAATAGGCACCTCCACCAGGTACACCATATCCATTACCTATTTCTGTGTTACCTGATACAAAAAGCATATAATCCCAAAGAAACAATATGAACTCATTACAATAAAAGTACAAGCATAGCTAAAATTAATCAACAATAGTTAATGACTGATGTTAAAGGAATATGAAAATATGAATGAAAAAACCACAGCTAAAACTTTTTATAATTCAGATCAAGGTTTGGTCTCCTGCTTAAATGCAATCAGAGCAAAGATCTAGCTACTGTAGACCATATGTTCACATGCCCCTCCACAGTTTGAAGGTTAGGAATGTTGTACACAATGTAAAGTGATGTAAAAGCCAAATCATACTATTTTCAACACTCGACATTGGAGGGAAAAGAATAAACAAAAGAGAGCAGAATTATATCGAGCTGGCTCTCCCCGCGCGCCTCCTCTCCCTCGTGCGCCTCCTCTCGTCCGCCCACCTCTGTTGTTCTTCTCCTGTGTGTGGATTTATCAGGCAACTTGTTGATGATAATGTCTATAATTTTATTGCAATGGAGACACATGCGAGAACTGTATGGGATAAGCTTTGATCCTTGTATGCTTCTAAATCAGGGACTAATATATTGTACTTGTTTAAGAATTTTGTGGAGTTGAAATACAAAGAGGGGGACTCCCATTATAGATCACTTAAGTGAATTTCAAGAGCGCTTTGATCAACTATCTGAAGTGATATAAAATTTGATGAAGATTTATTGAGACTGTTCCTATTAAATTCTCTACCTGATTCATAAGAGAAATTATAGGTTTCCATGATTAGAGCTTCTCCTAATGGTGATATTTTTTTGAAAATGGCAAAGAGTAGTGCACTTATTGAAGAGATGAAAAGGAAGACACAAGGTACTTCATCTCATTTATATGTGCTTGTTACTAAGAACAAGGGGAAAAGTCAGAAGAAAGAACATAAGGGTGTTAGAGACAAAAGTAGGAGCAAGTCCAAGATTCGATATAAAAATGTCGAGTGTCACTTTTGTCACAAAAAAGGACATACACAAGGGAATTGTTTTTTGTTGAAAGAGAATAAAGACAAGAAGGGTAAGTAGAGAGAGAGAGATCATGATGATAGTGATTGTGTTACTATTGCTACTAGTGATGATTTTCTTCTTCTCTGTGATCTTGATGCAATTAATCTTATATATATGATGAGAGCATGTGGATAATAGATAATGGTGCTACACTGCTTGTTACAGCTTACAACCAAGAAGAAGTTCTTCACATCTTATACTCGTAATGATTTTGGAATATTGAAGATGGGTAATGATGACATGTCCAAGGTGATTGGTGTTAGTGATGTTTTCTTGCAAATCAACATGGGGATGCAGTTGTTGCTTAAAGGAGTTAAGCATGCTTCAAATGTCTGTTTTAATTTGATTTTTCCTCTAGTGCTTGATGATGGTGGTTATGATAACCCACTTTGGTTCTGGAAAGCGGAAGCTCACCAAAGGTATCTTGATTGTGGCTAAAGGTGAGAAAAATTCTAAACTTTACTGGAAAAAAGCTTTGGTTGTTAAAGATAGTGTGAATTTTGTGTATATGGAAGCATCTTTGTGGCACCAAAGGCTTGGTCATATAAGTGAGAAAGGAATGAATTGTTTAGCCAAAAAGGATGTGCTTCAAGGATTGAAGAATGCAAAGTTGGATAAATGTTCTCATTGCATGGTTGGTAAATAGACTAAAGTATCATTCAAGAAACATCCACCTTCTAGGAAATTTGAGTTGTTTGAATTGGTGCATTCAGATGTTTGTGGTCCTTTGAAGGTAAAGTCTTTTGACGGTGCATTTTATTTTGTTACTTTTTATTGATGATTGTTTTAGGAAACTATGGGTCTACGCTTTGAATACAAAAGACCAAGTGTTAGAGAAGTTCAAAGAGTTTTATGTCTTGGTTGAGAGGTAATCACGTGGGAAGCTAAAATGCATTCATACTAACAATGGTGGTGAGTATTGTAAACCGTTTGATGTCTACTATAGGCAATATGGTATTGCACAAGAGAATAATCCTCTTAAAACTCCTCAACTGAATGGTTTATTGAAGATGATGACTAAAACATTGATTGAGAGAGTGAAATGTATGTTCTCTAAGGCTAAGTTACCCAAGCATTTTTAGGGTGAAGCATTATACACGGCGGTGCATGTTATCAATCTTAGTCTTGCTCTTTCTTTGAACAGTGACATGCCAAATAAAATTTGGTTTGGAAAAAATGTCAAGTATGATCACTTGGGAGTTTTCAGTTGCAAGCATGGTTGTCAATCTCTAGTGATAACTCGTAAACTCTTATGAGTTTACGAGATTAGGACAACCTACCTGTATAATTCGGAGGTAAACTCGTTTTTGAGTAATCTCGGAGTAATCTCGGTAATCTCGGAGTAATCTCGGTAATCTCGTGAGATCACGTCCAAGTTTAAGAGATCACTTTTTTTTTTCATTTACACAAAACGTGCGTTTTGTGTTAGGATTTAGGAGCTCTCATTTAGTCTCTGAACGCATCTCCTTCTCCGTGTCGCCTCCTCTGTGCTCCTCCTCTCCTCCCCACGCGCCTCCTCTCCCCGCGAGCTTGCTCTCCCCGCGCGCCTCCTCTCCCTCGTGCGCCTCCTCTCGTCCGCCCACCTCTGTTGTTCTTCTCCTCCGCGCGCCTTCATGTTCTTCTCCTCCGCGCGAACCAACTCTTGATGTCTTAGTTTTTTATTTGTCTATTTTTAAGAACTTGTGTTTTGTCATTTGTGTGAACAAGCTTTGGTTGTTAAAGATAGTGTGAATTTTGTGTATATGGAAGCATCTTTGTGGCACCAAAGGCTTGGTCATATAAGTGAGAAAGGAATGAATTGTTTAGCCAAAAAGGATGTGCTTCAAGGATTGAAGAATGCAAAGTTGGATAAATGTTCTCATTGCATGGTTGGTAAATAGACTAAAGTATCATTCAAGAAACATCCACCTTCTAGGAAATTTGAGTTGTTTGAATTGGTGCATTCAGATGTTTGTGGTCCTTTGAAGGTAAAGTCTTTTGACGGTGCATTTTATTTTGTTACTTTTTATTGATGATTGTTTTAGGAAACTATGGGTCTACGCTTTGAATACAAAAGACCAAGTGTTAGAGAAGTTCAAAGAGTTTTATGTCTTGGTTGAGAGGTAATCACGTGGGAAGCTAAAATGCATTCATACTAACAATGGTGGTGAGTATTGTAAACCGTTTGATGTCTACTATAGGCAATATGGTATTGCACAAGAGAATAATCCTCTTAAAACTCCTCAACTGAATGGTTTATTGAAGATGATGACTAAAACATTGATTGAGAGAGTGAAATGTATGTTCTCTAAGGCTAAGTTACCCAAGCATTTTTAGGGTGAAGCATTATACACGGCGGTGCATGTTATCAATCTTAGTCTTGCTCTTTCTTTGAACAGTGACATGCCAAATAAAATTTGGTTTGGAAAAAATGTCAAGTATGATCACTTGGGAGTTTTCAGTTGCAAGCATGGTTGTCAATCTCTAGTGATAACTCGTAAACTCTTATGAGTTTACGAGATTAGGACAACCTACCTGTATAATTCGGAGGTAAACTCGTTTTTGAGTAATCTCGGAGTAATCTCGGTAATCTCGGAGTAATCTCGGTAATCTCGTGAGATCACGTCCAAGTTTAAGAGATCACTTTTTTTTTTCATTTACACAAAACGTGCGTTTTGTGTTAGGATTTAGGAGCTCTCATTTAGTCTCTGAACGCATCTCCTTCTCCGTGTCGCCTCCTCTGTGCTCCTCCTCTCCTCCCCACGCGCCTCCTCTCCCCGCGAGCTTGCTCTCCCCGCGCGCCTCCTCTCCCTCGTGCGCCTCCTCTCGTCCGCCCACCTCTGTTGTTCTTCTCCTCCGCGCGCCTTCATGTTCTTCTCCTCCGCGCGAACCAACTCTTGATGTCTTAGTTTTTTATTTGTCTATTTTTAAGAACTTGTGTTTTGTCATTTGTGTGAACTTTTGTTAAGAACTTGTGTTTAGAACATTTATTATTAATGTAATTTACTATTTTACTCTTTAATATAAAGTTAAAATGTTCAATTATTATAGAATACAAAGGCTACTCTAATAAGCTATTCTAACAGATATATAGGGAAGAAAAGTAGTAACTAGAAACATTGATTAGAAGCAAGGAAATAAAGAAAAATCTTATCTATGTCGATATGTCCTTACATCCCTTGAAACCCATTAATAAGTAAAATTATATTCATATATAAATAATAAATCCACACAAATACCAAATAGCACCCAATGATTTAAATTATTAGTATAAATAGGAATATTAAATTATTTGTATAAATAGGAATATTAGTGACATGTGGAAGAGCTTGTTTACAGTTTATTTGGATTACTATATGACATAAACACTACTGTAAGTATTTGGGAGAACTTATGAAAAATAGCTATATGTTCATGAATCATGAGTTATTTTCAGCTTATTTCAGTAGCTTTCCAGGATAGCTTATGAATAAAACTTACAACTTGTTCGGAAACAATTTAATTCTATTTCCTCTTTGATTATAGGAACAGCTTATAGATAAATGCTTACATAATGAGCATTTATTCAATAAGTACATATTTAAGTTGTTTAGCCAATCACACACTGGGTTAGAGTAAATTTGTACGATAATATCTATCAATCATATTAATTATCTTTCTTGCTTTTCCTTTTCCTTTCTTAAAACTCTATAAATCCAATATGATGCTGAAGTGGTATGTATGATCTACCTTAAGGAGATTTTTCTTTTCTGTTGTATTGTGTTCATGGAACTCATTTCAATATCCTTTCCACTGTTTTCTTCCCTTCTTTCAGCTGTTCTCTCTCTTCTTGGTTTCTTCACAATATCTCCATCATTGTTCAAAATCAATATTTTAGATCTAGATTTATTGTTTTATAATTAACGCTCTCTCCCAGTAGACAGACGTTTCCTACTTGTTAGTTGTTACCCACCTTTCCTCTCCTATTTGATGTTACCCCTTATATAAAGATCCATTGAGGGAGACTGTAGAGAGGCATGAGTGACGCTGTAAGTTTGGGTGGCCTTATCTTGCCTGCTGTTATACACACATATATAGAGAATCAAACCATTATATCTGTTATTAGAATCTGTTACAACAGCACAGAATTATCATATTTATGTGAAGGGGACAGACCCGTGATTTTTTCTTAATTTTGATAAAGATATTCATTAAAAGGAAAGGACCAACACAATGGAAAAACAATTTTATGACAAAACAAAAGTCCTCTAGAGTTGAGCATCATGAAGTCCAAAAAATCAAAACTAGAGGGAGCAACATAAAATGAAATTAAGTCACAAATGAAGGTAAAGGCTAAACCGCTGAAGACTAGTATAAAGTAACACAACCACTCCACCAATAACATCAAGCCACCAATGCCACATTATCATTAAACAAGAAAAAGAAAAAAGAAGGTATAGAATTAAAAGCACTTGGTTAAAGTAACCTACAGACCTTCTGCATGTGCAGATTTCCCGCGCTTCACAGCCATTTCAGCCCTATGCTCAGTGGCCATTTTCAACAAATGCTCCTGTTTTTCAAAAAATAAAAACAGGATTGCACTTTGTCTTACTCTCATACTCCTTATAGAAAAATAAAATAAATAAACCCAATCATACATTTATAACACACCTTCAAAGCATTGGGATCACGACGCTCTGAGAATACATCTAAATTATCCTTGGTAGGTGAAGCAGCAGTTCTTCCCTCTCTAGAATGGCACAACACAAACATATAACTGAATAGTTCCCACTACCTCAGCCTGTTTGGATAAACTTTTCCTAAAACACTTATTGGAGAGAAAAAATAGGAAGAAAAATCAAAATAAACTTCTACATAAGCTAAAACTAGCTTATAAATAAGTCAAAAATAAGATTTTGCAGAAGCTAACTAGACAGAACTTCTACAAATTAGCTTATGCAAAAGCCAATTTCAGTTCACGGAGGAATTCATTTCATTTTTCTTTCTTATTTTTTTCTCCTACAAGTGCTTCTCAAAAAATGCTTACCCAAACCAGTAACCACCAACATTTCAATAAAGCATTTCACAGAACTGGGAAAACAAAAACAAAAACTCAATACACACCGTTGACTCCTAATGACATTTTGCGTTGCGATTTCCTGAAAATTAACAAAAACCGAAAACCATCAGAAGAATCAAACGAGAAGCAACCGAATAAAAGAGTTGGTTCAACGCTAGCATACTTGTTCACGCAACACAGCGTCCTGAGCAGCAACATCAATCTCCCCGTAGTGTTTGGAAGGCATGTGAGAAACAGTATCCACTTGGGCGTTGGGAGGGGCTTGACCGTAGTGAGAGAGGGTTCCTTGTGGGAAGTTATTAGGGGAATTGGGAGAAAAGTGATATTGAAGGGAAGGTGCGGCATGGGCGTAGTTTGGCCACGAAGGAACACCTGGAGGGAGTGGTTGATCTCGGGAATTCTCCATGTCTTTTCGGTTTGTTCTGTTTAAACTTTCAAGGCTGGAGGGTGCACTGTAAATAATCCTAGGGTTTGATCCACCGCAAGAATGAGGAGTGAGAGAGTCTGCGTTTGCGAATCAGATTAGAATTTTAATCCTTCCCCCTCTTATTATCTATGCTTTTTTAAGATTTTAAAAAGTTTTTAGTCCCTTAATTTATATAAAATTTTGATTTTAGTTTCTCTTAATTTTTTGTTTTAATTTAGCGTGTAAGCAGTAGGGATTGATCCACATTTAAGGAAGGTCAGGTGTTCGAATCCTACTTTGTGTATGCAGTCGCGTTAAATCTTGGGACTAGCTATCCCACCCTTTGATGTGCCTCTAACGTAGCGAGGATATTAGTTACTGCTATGGATGGTAGATACTTAAAAAAAAAAAAAAACTCAACATTGTTAACTGATGACATGGTTAACCAATTATCACATTCACTATGTCAAATAAACTTAAACCATCCTATATGAAATTTTTAAATTAAAATTTTTACTCGAAATTAAAACTAAAAAAATAAATAAATAAATTCATACAATCAAAAGACATGAAAGATCATGCCTCACTCATTTGTATTCTCTAGACTTGCGTTGCAACCTTACATGTGTCCATTTTCCATCACATTACCGCAACCACATGGTTTAGTTTTTCTTTTCCAATCTCAACCTTTGTTGCAATAAGCAAAATTTATATTGACATCAATCTAAATCTATTGTGTTGAACACATCCCCAACACATTAAAATTGAGAAATGTAAAATAGTAATAATATTCGTTTTATATCTTTCGCCCAATCGACACTACATTTGTTCTCTTTCCTTTTGGCTTGCTTCTTCTCTCAACAACCATAATTTGATCATTATCATCAAGCCACTAATGATCGTTGTCGTCGATCCAACAAAGTACAATAGGGGTGCGTATTACGATTCTATTTTTTCTAAAATTCAAATTAATGTTGATGTTGTTTTAAATCACCTGCACGTCATGCATCAATTAATTTAGCCTAATTTAGACATTCATGCTATTCATTTGTTTATATTAACCTAACTTAGATATTGAGGTGTAGAAAGGAGCATTGTGGATGGAGCATTGATTAGCATGTGTTTAATATGTGGTCACGTTATTTCATTATCTTTAGTCTCAATTTAGTAAAGGTTTTTTTAAAATGTAATAAGGTCAACATTTTTATCAAACATTATTTTTTTGATCAATGGAAACAAAAAAGAAGAAAATTAAACAACTCTAACAAAAGGGATAACATGAACCAACATATGTGTCTCAATGGTAGTAGGACAAAAGTGCCAAAAAGTCCAAGACACATTGGATAGAACGCTAGCTCTTACAAACCAATCTGCAATGTCATTACTTTCTTTGTAGGTATGAAAAAAAAAGTTAAATTCCAACCAAGATCCATGTGTGATCCAGTTCTCTCAACCATAGCTGCATATGGTTGCATGTTATTGGTTACAAAAAGCACTAGCACTAGGGAAACTTTGGAATAAATTTCACACACCAAGTTTGAGAACCCTTTTGACCAAGCCAACATAACATTGAGATAAATATAATGAAATTCATTTCTAACTTCTTGGGGAACGCAAGTTACTGCAACATTCAACTACCACAACCCATTCTAATAATATCCAATATCGTGAGATTTGCATCCTAAATATTCTAGATTGCATTTATACTATTTGAATGCAATATATTTTGGACTATCATTAAATATCTTATAGGCGATGTTGTCATGCTATCAAGGTGTCTTTGAAAGACAATGTATCATGTTTGTATTTTATCCAAAAAAAATTATTTGCTTATAATTGGTAAAAATTATTTGCTTATAATAAAAAAGACGAAAGTTATAGTTTTGAATATTTGAGATGACAATTTGGATCTACAATGTATATTGTTCATTAATTTAAAATAGATTGGTTTTGATATTCATTTGTTCATTTTCATTTAACTTATAAAAAAATGCATTAACTAGAGTAAAAGGGAAGTTACAGTTTGCTAATTTTCATGATTAATAAGAGCATATCAATAAAATTTTATTATAAAGATAAACTAGAATTCATGTACAATAGGAGTATATCAATAATCAAATGCTCCCAAAATTAAAGTTTAAAAGAAAAAAGGAGTAGGTAACAAAGATTGCATCAAAAGTTAAAAAACAAAAGTATGATATCAACTCCAATCTCGATGGTTTGCATAAAAATAATATTATAGCTTTCTCCACCTACTTGCATATTTTTTGATCTACTTGTAGTAACTTCAACATTTAATACCTGAAACATAACTTGTTAAGTATTTTAAAAGAATGATAATTTATTGTGAAATTAAATTTTTTTAAGCATTTTAAATATAAGACAAGGAAAATAAATTGTCATGTTACCTGTTTATTTGTAATTCATTTGATAATAGAATCATTTGGCAAGTTTATCACTAACTTAGATGGTAGGGCCATAAGTAGGTTCTTATAGCTTCTGCTATTGCAACCATATAGGTGACATTTGCCACATCTATTTGAAATGTGTGTTCCCCGATACTTTGATGGATTCAACTCTTCATCAGGCTCCCTTCTTCTAAGTTTTTCAGACCAGCCAAGCCCCCACTTAAACAAAGGAGGCAACATATCTTCATTTTCAGTCTTGGGCCACATATTTTGACCTTTAATAGGACTTATGATTTGCTCGTAACATTGTTAATATGCCTCTTTTTTTTGTAGTATTGGTGTACATACATTTTAAGATTATCACCTTTATAACAAATGGTAGCCACAACATGCCTATAAGGGATTCCTACCAACTCCCAAAAATTACAAGAACAAGTACAAAGATTTAGATCTACAACAAACTTCTCGGTGAACAATATATGTGTCACCTCAAATTTTAACTCTTCAGCCTAGGTTGAAAATCAATTACAACTTAACTCCACCTTTTTATCTAGCCTTTTCCTTGGTTTAGGCATGACATTTCCAGGGTATTTGGATAATTTTTCATTAAGTGCAACAAACCTACCCATCAAATAAGTCCTTATCCATTCAAACATGGTTATTATTGGTTTGTCCCTAGCAATTAATATTTGATTGTTAAATGTTTCAGACAAATTATTCATTAACACATCATGTTTAGGATAATAACTGAAAGCATGCTTATACATGCTTTTGTTGGAATTCTCATTAACCACTTGTGTGCCTTGGCATCAATTGTCTTTAACTCATTCATTTTCTCATTCCATCATTTAATATATGTGGCTTTGGCAGCTCCCATCATGAGGTGTCTCATTAATATCCCTCCCCCAAACATCTTTTTGAAATTGACATAAAGATGTCTCAAACATAATCTATGTTTTACACCTTCGAATAATTCTTCAAATACTTGAATTAGCCCCTGCCAATAAATAACAAATAAACACATGAGTTTTAACTAATGATTATAATAAGTTAAATATAAGTAAAAATCATTCAATTGTTGTCTCAATTGTTAATAAATATCTTCTACTAATTTGAGATAAAGATCCATCTATTTGTAGCAACACCTCCAATGTCTTATAACAAAAGAATAAGAAACCATCTCCAACTTTCTTTATTCTTTATCTCCACAATTGCAAAATACTATAGGAGAATATTGATCATTTGGGTCTCTCCCCACTGTTGTCAATTATTAGTCACCATACTTTGTCTTTAAATGACAACCATCAACACCAATAAATGGCCTACAAGCACTACGAAATCCCTTCTTACATCCCTCTAAGCACATATAGAAGCTCCCAAACCTAGGTTGTAATGTGGAGTCAGATCTAATTAATTGCATTTTGCTAGTATTCCTAACACTCACCCTTTTCAATTCAACATTATAATTCCATAATAATGTGTATTGCTTTGTTGCATCTCCTTCCACAATCTCTGATGCAATCATTTTAGCCTTGAAAGCATGTGACATAGTGATACCAGTTGAGTAAGTTTTCCATATATCACTAACAATATCAGTTAATCTTAGCTTATCATTTGTCTTTAACTTGTCCACCATTATCGTGGCTACCCATTTAGATTTGGCATTTTTGTTATCAAATACCATACCACATGTGTGTTTGTCAACAAGAGTCTTTATTTGATAAGTGTATGTATTTCCTACCCTACTCACAAGAGCCTTAAATCCACAATTGGCCTTACATCTTGCCCTCACTTTTTTAGCATTATTTTTCACAAATTTTAGTTTTCCCATTCAACACAAAATGCTCCAAAATTGCCTCCTTAAATTCATTTAAAAAGGACAACTCCATGCTCATTTTGAATTTGAAATCCTTGTGCATTTCTTTCTTCCTAAATTTGAGATATTTTGGCTTAGGGTCTGCATCATAATTTAAATCATCTTCACCACTATCCAAGTCATCATTTACATATTCTTCCTCCATGGCATGCACGTTCTCTATGTTTGTTAGAACCAAATTTTTTGCCTAAGATGCCTTGAGGTAATTAACATTTTCCCCCTTATTGTCATCTATTGAAACATGAACAATTTCCATTGTCGCATGTCCTTTCATAGATGAAACATAAGGTTTCTTTGTAGGCATCGCCTTCTTAAGGCTTTTTCCATAATTATCTCTCATATCACATCTTCTCTCAATTTCAAATCCATCATCCAGTCCTAAATCCCTCTCCTCCTCACTATCACCAAAATGAACACTTTTCGCATCATTGCTACTATCATCAACATTCATATTAGCATCACTTTCCTCTCGAATTGGTCCTTTACACATATTTTTGCTCACAACTTTACCAACCATTTCATTTCTATCCTTATCAGTATCTTTATTTGTCTCTTTACTTGCCACACTCATATCTTCTACATATAAGTGAACTGCATAATTGTTACAAATTGCAAAGTTAGCCATCTCGAGTGCATGGCTATCCAAAGTAATGTGTTTTATGCCATTATCAAAGCTTATCCCATTTTTTCCACCATAACTTCACATTATTCACATAACCTAATTCATTCACCATTGACATGGCTTCAAAATAAGACCAAGTGTTTATGTCCAGATCATGGTATACACGAATATCTCCCTCCAAATATGTCAAATTCGGATCTTTCACAAATGATTCTTGATGGTGAA